AGGCGATGTGGTCTGGGTTAACAGAAAATCGGGCAAGATAAGGCACCACAGAAGATCAATAGGCGGTCGCACGAGCAAATATACAGCTCTAACGGGATCGGGTGGAAGAAGAGGACACACTATATGATCTTGGTGTAATGGATGTGAAGGGTTTATGATTTTTTATCGATAGGGAAAAGCATGACTTTGAATGTTGTGAAACGATGACGTTGACAGAGAATTTCACGGCAAATCCCACTACTTCTTGATAAATGTGCTAAGGATCTGAAGTCCTTGAACATCCTTAGGAAGATTACAGGGGACCCATACAACCACAGGGGCAAAATGCAAGCAAAAAGTAAACGTCTAATCAAAAAACGATGGACGGATAATGCTTTCAGATGTAGGGCATAAAATGATAATTTCCTGTACTTTCCAAATACAAATAAATTGGTCAAACCACCATAAATTTCAGCTGATTAGTACACCTGAAATTTAGGGATTGGATAATAGTATTATCGCATATGTTTAACTTGGGACAGGATTCTAGGAGATTTGCATGACGATCCCCTCTTTGAAACGAGAACAACATTTAGAGGGATTGAGAGTTAAGTTATGTGCAGTGAGCCACTCAGCAAGGTTAGTGCCCGAAATAACTGAATTCATGTTATCCTGCTGAAATGTGGTTTTTCCTCGCCGTGATGACATTTGTTAAGGGAACTGGATGTATGAAAAGTTTAGTACAACCAGGTTGTAGGGTGGAGTCGCCAGATGCATCTGAGCTCAGCAATTCCAACCACAACATCGTCCGCGTATTTAATGGGTAGGGAATTTCGACAAGTAGGCATGGATGAAATATAGGTGAAAAATAACGGAGACAGAATGGTACCCTGTAATATGCCTAGTGTAGAAATTTAGGAGTAGGAGGAACGACCAAGGGAACGAGTGAACTGTGATCGACTTGTGAAATAGTTTGTGAGTGCCGTAGTTATGGCATACTATATCCCCTTGGGAGACAAAATATTTAACAACTTAAACCTGTCAACATAAATGAAGGCGTCGCTGTAATCTAAGAAACATTCTAACAGCTTTCTTATTTTCATCGAGTGTTGATATAATATGGTAAACCAGAGAAGCTGGGACATCTGGTGTAGAGTGAGACCGGCGGTAGGCATATTGGTTTTGGNTTTTGGTCCTGCACATTCAGCCGAGATGACATTCCTTGAAGGAGTAACTTCTCAAAAAGCTTCAACACAACAAACTTGCATGCAATGGGACGGAATTTTGAGGTTCTGCTTTTAAGCACCGGAGTGGTGTAGACAGATTCCCAACAATCAGGCCTGATTCCGTTTTCCAAGCACCGGTTGAACAGAGCTGTTAGCACTGGCGAAAGTGTGTGATCGCACTCCTTAAGGATGGTAGGTAGTTTCAATCCACTTACTGAGGTATTTCAGTAGGATTATTTCCGTAATCTTTTGGCCCTTATTCCACTGAGCACATGTTGATAATTTGGTTTTTCGCTCTGTCGCTAATCATCTGACGCGGCTATCTCAGTTTGCTCGCTTCGGCTTGTCCGTGATCGTTGCACAACAGAAACACGATGAAGCGGACTTTGCTTGTGGCTGCCAAGCTCTTGGTGAATTGGCACTCAATTGCAAATGTGTCAAAACACGATGGTCTTGCAATACTATTTTTGTCATTCCTGTCGTTAAGTTATACGTTGATATGAACTGCACTGTGAATCTCTTGTTCAAGTTCGCTGTGCGTCGATTTTACGTGTCTCCATGCACTTGGATAAATGCTTTTCTCGAACTATTTCAAAGTTTCATTTATTTACGTCCCTGCTCTCTTTCCTTCATCAGTTAAATATGTCGCATAAGATCACCCAACTCCGTTTCGGAGGGAAGTTTCCTGGTCAAGTCAATCCACTGGACGGCATCATAATGAATGTTGTGGAGCGTAAGTGTTTATTCGCCCTGTTCGTTTTGGGAACCGTCGATTCCAAATATAGACACTTATGTCAAGACAAACCGGCTCCAATGGTATATATATATATGTGTTACAAGAAGTAGTATGGGAATGACCAGACAAAATTTCCCCGGAAGCTCACGACCGGTTTTGCAGTTCTGAAAGAGCTCTCCAAGCAAATTCACTGTTTTTTGTTAATGCGGTTATTATGGCGATATATGTGTATATGATTAGGGGTAACAAGAATGCCGCTGTTTTAATTTAGATCTACTTTTCTGTCTTTCAACCACGGGGTTTACTCTCTGTATCATTAAAAGTTTTCATGATATCGCAAAAGTCGATTTCATTCGTAGTGTACAAAACGTATGTTAAGAGCTGACCTTGCGATTTTCCCTGTTTTAGTTGTGTAATCTGTCCTCATGTCACTTTGTTCTTCCTGGGTAGATGTAAAATCTGACTGGTTCTGGAAACATCTTGTGTCTTGGCCTTGCCAAAATGCTTGAATTTTGTAAGAAATTCGGCTTATTCTTTCTTTCTGTCTTTCTCTCTCTCTTTCCAAGAAGCAGGTCAACACACATAGTACTGTGATAGTAACACTTAAGCTGCTTGTGAATCATTCTAAAAACTAATACACTCAATGAAGTAGTTCTTCTATTGACGCGGAGAGCTGAGCATGGACCATACGTCATTGCATTTAGTCGTTAGATTTGATTTCATACACACACACACACACACCGGTCGCCCAGTGTCCATTATGTTTTAGCCAATTCGTAAGTTCTTCACTGGTCAGCGCTTTGCGCGTGACCCTACGATATCATGCTCTCCGAACCAATATGTGCTCTCATGTAACTAAACTGGTCGACAGTGTTCCGATGCCGGTTTCTCTCCGTTCTTCAAAATTCAAGTGGATGCTGGTATCCAGTCCCACTCCAGTGACTATTTCAGTATTGTAATCGATTCAACCGGCGACATCAATGTTTACGATTCACAATAAGCTGCAATTTTTTCCAGTTGTCATTTTGACCCTTTTAAGATCATGGTCAAATGAAATTTTTTTTAATCACGCTCCACTGTGTGATGAACAACAGACGGGGCGGATCCTATGGGACTTAAACTGGCGAACCAAACAAAGCCCCACTAGGTCAGGCGTGGTATTGAACCGAACTATTGTGTTCGAAATTGCTTGATGTGCCATTACAATCTATAAGACCTGAGATGCTTGCGGGTTGGGCGACAAGTTTCAAAGCAAACATTTGTTCGGGTATATGCGTGTGTGTTTGTGGTTGTATAGTGGTAACAGTCGGGATGGCCTTTCAGTTAACGGTGGTCGAGTGGTTAAGGTGATCAAAAGAACCAGCTGGAGGTCCCAAGTTCGAATCCCGCCGCCCATTGTATTCCTGTATTTTTATTCACATAACCTTGGATTGAACGCAGCCCCCTTCTTGATAATTAATTCCACATTTGTCTAACCAATTAATAAAAGAAAACCTCAACCAACTAGATGCCAGGGCCGATTTTCTGTGTCTATAATGGGTAGTGTATGAATGAATGGACAAAATTTCCCAGAAGCACATAAACAGTTTTGCAGCCTTAGCCGCTCTTCAGGTATGCATATCCGGTAATCGTTTCTCTAGTCATTCTCGTACTGAGTCTTAAACGGTGTGCCAAACAAATCACGGTACAATTATCCTTATAAAAAGAAAAGGCTCTAACATTTGTCTGTGGGCGTGATACTGTTGTGGTGATTGTGTGAAAACAGCAATCCATCCGGGGCCGGTGTCCAGTTTATTGAATCGTACACTCGTTTAGATAGGTCAAACGTCTAAGGTGTTTAATACACTTCGCTGCCCCATGGAATCAGTGTTTACTGGAACAACAACAACTAGAAAGGCGTGTTTAAGGAGGGGGATGGTTCGTACGCCCTTTCCCCGGTTGGTTCTAAGACTAGGATTTTTAGCCAACTTCTCTAGGTGAACTGCCAATAGTTCACCGTCCCATTGTTTGGCTTTTCGTTTTCTCACTTTTTAGTGGGGAAACACTTCGGTCATGT